TGTTCACACCTGTTGACTCAGTAATTTTTACTTTTACTAAGGAAGTATCTAAAATACTGAAAAGCATTATGCACAAAGATGGTTTCCAGCATTCCTTTTTTTCTTTTCTTTTTAAGAGAAGAGTCTCACTCTGTCACCCAAGCTGGAGTGTGCAATAGCACAATCATAACTCACTGCAGCCTCAAACTCCTGAGCTCAAGCAATCCTCCCAGCTCAACATCCCAAGTAGCCACGGCTACAGGCACACTCCATTAGGCCTCACTAATTTTTTTCTAATTTCATAGATACAAGGTCTTGCTATGTTGCCCAGGTTGGTCTTGAACTCCTAGGCCTAAAGCAATCTGCCTACCTTGGCCTCCCAAACTGGTTATTACAGGCATGAGCCACCCTGCCTGGTCTCAGCACTCCTTTCAATAGCAAACTGTTAACTTAAAAATCGAGTAAATGGTGCATGTCTGTAATCCCTGCAACTTGAGAGGCTGAGGTGGGAGGATAGTCAGGAGTTCAAAGTCAGCCTAGGAAACACAGCAAGATCCTCATGTCAAAAAAAGAAAAAAAAAACAAAAATCCAGCAGTAAGGAATGTGTTTTCAGTAAATTGTGGCACGGTCATGTATCTAATATTATAAAGCCATTAAAGATGCCTTCAAAATGTTTACTGAAATGTGACTATACTGGCCAGTTAAGGTGGCTCATGCCTGCAATCCCAGCGACTGGGTAAGCTGAGGCAGGAGGACAGCTTGAGCCCAGGAGTTGGAGGTTAGAGTGAGCTATGATCATGCCACTGTACTCCAGCCTAAGCGACAGAGACTCTATCTCTAGAAAAAAGAAAGAAACAAATGTTAATATATCAATATGTTAAAATAGGAAAAATAATAAAGTTACATTTACAGTATGATTTGCAGCTACGCAAATGTGTGTATACATATAAACACATATATGCCAACCCATGTGTACATAAATATGTACAAAAATATGTATAATATATAAACAAAAAATTCCTTCAACGAAATTTATCAAAATACATCAATGAGTTAGAGTTATGAGTAAACTTCTTTTTTTTTCCTGTATTTTCCACAATGATTACATATGGCTTTCCTAGAGAATGGGGGTTTTTCTGTTTCTTAAGCAAAAAAGCCTTTTCTCTTCATCACACTGAAAGAGAAATGAATGAAGTACTGTGTTACTGCCTATCTAGATACACGGTATTTTACTGGTTGCTAAGCAGCAGATCCTGGTGTTTTTACATCATGCCTATCTCTAGTCACAGGCAGAAAGGACTGGAACTCAGGCACAAACTCACCCCATCCAAATGGCAGTGTATTTCCTCTTGGAGAGTGGCCCAAAGAGCACATACAGCAACTTTAATTCTCTACTCAAACCACTCCCCATCTCTCACCTTAACATACCAAGCAGATTTTTTATATGGAACAGTAATCCTCACACGAGCTGCACGAAAGGGAAGACCTTTTTAATCCTCTACTATATGCCACCCACTCCATCCCTGAGAGATAATTTGCATTTAAGTACATTCACCCACCAAGCTAGAAATCACCATCATTCTGGACATGTATCTGTCATCAACTGACACAGACAGGTAAGCCTTGCTGCTTTCTGAAAACAGCCAATCCTGCTCAGTGAATGACAGCATCAGCTAAGATTTCTTCTACTGCAGAGAATGGGTGGGTCCCCCACTAATGCTGTAAATCCCAATACTCAGTGTCATTCCCTCCAAACAGCAGAATCTACAGTATGGAAATTCTTCCACAAGAAAAGCCCAATTCTTGTGGCCACAACCATTAAGAGAATCCCAAGTCAAGGCATTCTCCCCAAGCTTCTCTTCCTGCGTCTTCACAGGAACCACAGAAGCCAAGTCCTATACTATGCCCGCCCCTGCTGCTGCAGCAGCCATTTTTGGCTCAGCCCTGCTGCAGTCCCAGATGAAAGCCAGGACAGTAAGGACAAGATGGCAAAGGACTTTTAAAATGGAAACTCTTTAACAAAAATAACAATGAAGCAGGCATCATAAAAAATGTTGCAATAATATGCCATGTCATTTAAAATAAGGTTTAAAAAAAAAAAAAAAGATGCCTATACTTAAGCACTTTAAACCGTTTTTCATAGCATCATGAAAAATTTGAGGAAACCTAATTCATCAAAATGTGAGATCGGCACTATACTGATTCTATGGTAAAACCAACATTAATCAGAATGGGGAACACAATGCTTAACGAGTTTAGCTTCTACTCAACTAATAGTTAACAACAACAACAAAAACTCCCTTGATTTCTGTTGAAAATCTAAATGCATTTTAAATTCCTCTTCACTGTCTTAAAATAATGTAATTTAATCTTTGCTGAATGAGAGTTCACGGAGAGTCAAATTTTAACTTGTTTTGATTTTCCAAAATAGAAGTAGCTTTAATTTGCTAATTATAAAAATAACTGGCCGGGTGCGGTGGCTCAGACCTGTAATCCCAGCACTTTGGGAGGTCGAGGCGGGTGGATCACCTGAGGTCGGGAGTTCAAGATCAGCCTGGCTAATATGGTGAAATCCCATCTCTACTAAAAATACAAAATTAGCTGGGCATGGTGGCACACGCCTGTAATCCCAGATACTTGGGAGGCTGAGGTATGAGAATTGTTTGAACTCGGGAGGCGGAGGTTGCAGTGAGCCAGAATCATACCACTGCACTCCAGCCTGGGCAACACAGTGAGACGCCATCAATCAATCAATCAATCAATCAATAACATGGTTAAACAAAATATTACTTATTGCAGAAAGAAATCAAATGACCTAATCTCACCAGCAACCAGTAACCACATGAACACTGCTGTATAATCAAGCACCTTTTCCTAATGTATTTAAATAAAATTTGAATATACATGCTATTTTTAACTAACTTCCACAGAGAAAATGTGCACTTTTTTATATCAGTAAATGTTTCTGTAACATTTTTAATGGTTATATAGTATTTCAATGCCTATATAGCCTGTAATTTGCCCAACGTCATATTACTAGGCCTTTAGCATGTTTCAAAAGGTTTACTATCATGAAAGATGACATGAGATCAGGACTTTATTTGAATACCAACTTTCAAAGTATAATTCTATAAAAGCAAATTGTATTAAATAAAAAAAAAGCAGGGCTAATTTCAAGGTAACCCTTGAATGTATGTTAAAAAAAATCTCTTAGAATACTAACAAAATATAATACAACAGTCCAGTTTCTGTTACATCACCTAGGGCCACAAGAAACAAACTCCTAGATCAAACTACATCACCCACTCCACTTGGAAAGAGATTCATCCTAGTCCCTATCTCACTCTAGATACTAGTTTAGTAAAACAGACTTAAATTCAAACAAAAGAAGATAGTAACTAAGCCTAGGGAAAAACTGAAACCAATTCCATGAGGTAAGACTGATCCAGGACTCTAATCAGACAATTATGAGGTCTAGCTTTAGATTGGAGAATGGAGGGATTAAAAGGCTCAGAAGAAGTTCTAAAGACTCCCAGATTTATAACTGACAGGGAACCAAGCACCTAAAAAAAGCAGGCAAGCTCAGAAGTACACTATACATTCCATCACAGACATTTCTTCGGGCCAGGCACAGTGGCTCAAGCCTATAATCCTAAGACTTTGGGAGGCCAAGGCAGGTGAATTGCTTGAACTTAGGAGTCTGAGAACAGCCTGAGCTACATGGTGAAATCCCATCTCTACAAAAAAATTCAAGAGTTAGCTGAGCATGGTGGCACATGCCTACAGTCCCAGCTACTCTGGAGGCTGAGGCAGAAGGATAGTTTGAGTCTGGAAAGTCGGTGCTGCAATGAGCCAAGATGATGCCACTGTACTCCGGCCTGGGCAACAGAGCGAGACCCTGTCTCTATAAAATAATAAAATAAAAGCAAATAAATTTTTTTTTAAATCTTTGGGTTCACAGATTTGAAAAGGCCAACTACCTTTGGTTACGTACTCCTTAGATGGAATCAAACTTGCTAACACTAAAAAAAAGCAACCAGAAAAATAAAATGCCCCCTACAGGGCCTTCAACATAAAACTTTTTTATAAAAGTAAAATCCATTTCCCTTCCACTCCCAGACTGTTTCCTAATGCAACTTCAATTACCTTTCCAGCCGTTACAAGTCACAGTAAGCTGGTATCTACTACCATGACCCAGAGAGCTTCCCAAAATACTCTCCTTATAAGATCATAGTGATATCAGCTATTAATAACATGATTTTATGCCATATAAAAAATATATCAACATTTGGAAATTTTACATAACTTAATGAACAATTACCTTCAAAATAACTGATGCATAATCCTATAATCTTCCAAATAACCAATGCATGATGTTACAAAATCATACATAGGTAAAAGATCCATTCAAGCCAAGCACGATGTACACACTCTGTCATCCTAGCAACTCAAGATGCCGAGGCAGAAGGATGGCTTGAGGCCAGGAGTTCGAGGCTGCAGGGAGCTATGACTGTACCTGTGAATAGCCACTGCACTCCAGCCTGGGAAACAAAGAAATATGCTGTCTCCAAAATAATTTTTAAATAATCACAAATTGATTCCTAAATGCTCCAAAGTTCCCTCCTTTCTCAAATCTATTTTCTAATTAGATTAGAAAATGTTGAGGGACAATGGTCACTCTTCATTTTTACTTCTTCCCACAGTCCTCCTGAAGTGTATAGCAGGCCCGGATGTGTGCTGCCCCTAGTAGCTTTCAGTCACTTTCAGAATGTGTTATTTTTGAAAGGCGGCTAAAAGATACTACATCTCAAAGACTCCTAGACAGACAAACGTCTTCACTCATCTAGAAGATTCTAATGGCATTCTGAATAGCACTATCATTCTTTTAACTACCTACTATGACAGCTACCACAGTAACATTTCTTTTTAATAGCTGAGGCCATTTGAGAAGGAGGTGAGTTAAAAATTTCCATAATCCATTCTAACTCTCACATTCTAAGATTCTGGTTCTCGAGCACGGGGGAACAAGGTCGTGAAAACAAGGTCTTGATGAGGTGCCGCCATTTCATCGGTCCCCCGTCTCTGCGCTTTTCGCAGAGCTTCCAGCAGCGCTATGTTGGGCCACAGCATCCGGAAGTTCACAACCTCTGTGGTCCATAGGAGCCACTATGAGGAGGGTCCTGGGAAGTATTCGCCATTTTCAGTGGAAAACAAGTGGGCGTTACTAGTTAAGATGTGCTTGTACTTTGGATCTGCATTTGCTGCACCCTTCCTTATAGTACAACACCAACTGCTTAAATCATAAGGATGTTTCAGCTCGTCCATTTAACAGATATGAAGAGCATTTTAAGAGATACAGCCTCTGGAAATGGATCAAACTCTAACTCATGGCATACTAGGTATGTTTGTCAATAAACTTATGACATGAAAAAAAAAAAAAAGAAGATTCTGGTTCTCTTTATTCTCAAGTCCCAGCATTCAATAATGCTGGATACTACAGTTATTTAGGGGCTGGAAGATGAGGCAGCAGGTGTAGCCATTTGTGAGAAGCAGCTTTTTTTTTTTTTTTTTTTTTTTTTTTGAGACGGAGTCTTGCTCTTGTAATCCAGGCTGCAGTGCAATGAATGGCACAATTTCGGCTCAGGGCAACCTCCACCTCCCAGGTTCAAGTGGTTCTCCTGCCTCAGCCTCCTGAGTAGCTGGGATTACAGGCATGCACCACCACACCGCACTAATTTTTCTGTTTTTAGTAGAGACTGGATTTCACCATGTTGGCCAGGCTGGTCTTGAACTCCTGACTTCAGGTGATCCTCCCACCTTGGCCTCCCAAAGTGTTGGGATTATAGGCGTGAGCCACCGAGCCTAGCCAAGAAGCAGTTTCATTATACTTCAAACAACAGTGAAGCCAGCAAAAGACAGCTGCTGTGGTTTACATTGCTGAACACGCTGTTGGGTTTCACAGGCCAGTAAAAACTACCCATTGTCAGCAAGCCTCATTTTTCTTAGTTAAGGGTTAAGAAGCACCAGACTTAGCTAGTAGTTCCTAAAGTAGAATGAACAATCTCTTTTCTCAAAGCAGAATTAGTATAAGCGCTTATCCGCCAAAATCAGGGTTATTGGTTTAACGGAATTTGCTCATTTCTGAAGATGTCCTACTGGAAATAGGATAACTGAACATTAAAAAACCATTCTTGCCTAGGAATGTGCCTCCGGTTGCAATAAACAAACTCTCTACGTAAACCACTAATGTTATACATGCTCAGACACAGGAAAAACTGCTTTCAATAACAACAAAAAAAAGTAAGTCAAGGGCATTATTTTTTTTAATCACAAAATGCTATTAACTAAAGTACAGAGAAAGGAATAGAAAATATGCAGATACAATATCAATCACTAACCTTTTTTGTGAGAGCCAGAAAGGCAAAACAACCTGCAACATTCTATGAAAGTATCTATTGTTTTGGTTTTGAATATTTTCAACTCAGTTTCACTTCTGAGTCAAAAGTAGTTCATCTTTAAGAATTCTGTCATAAGTAGCCTCCCCTCCAAATATAATTTTCAAAGTTTTGGTTTCCAGTGAAGGACTAAACTGAAAAACACCTCCTAACTGCTTTCTGGTTTCATATCCAATGGTTCATCTGAGCATTACACCCTGAACACAAATAGATGTTCCTTTTTCATTCAAAGGCAGCCAATTTAACCTAACATTTCAAATTCTAGCTGAACTATTAATAAGGAGATGCGGATATATGCTATGTATCTATACGTCTATGTATATCTCCATCTATGTATCTCTTTAGCACTATGATAAAAGATGTCCTACCTTTTGATGAGCAGGTACTTTCACTATTGTCTCATTATTTGAGTATTAAAACAACACGCCTCAATTTTACTCACTTATAAACAATCTACTACAAACCTGCTACTAACCACTCACTAACCATAAACAAAGGCTGAAACTGAAAACAGAAATATATTTTTTAAATATATAGGCCAGCGGGGCGCAGTCGCTCACACCTGTAATCCCAGAACTTTGGGAGGCTGAGGCGGGCAGATTACTCGAGGTCAGGAGTTCGAGACCAGCCTGGCCAACACAGAGACACCCCATCTCTACTAAAAATACAGAACTTACCTAGGCTTGGTGGCAGATGCCTGTAATCCCAGCTACTCGGGAGGCTGAGACAGGAGAATCGCTTGAACCTGGGAGGCGGGGGCTACAGTGACCCAAGATCACGCCACTGCACTCCAGCCTTGGCAACAGAGTGAAACTCCATCTCAAAAACTAAAATAAAATATGTAGGCCAGGCACAGTGGCACACACCTATAATCCTAACACTTTTGGAGGCCCTGGTGGGAGGATTACTTCAGCCCAAGAGTTTGAGAATAGCCTGGGCAACATAAGGGGACCCCTATCTCTGTCTTGCTCTGTCGCCCACGCTGGAGTGCAGTGGCGCAATCTCGGCTCACTGCAACCTCCGCCTTCCGGGTTCACGCAATTTTTCTGTCACAGCCTCCCAAGTGGTTGGGACTACAGGTGCACACCACCATGACTGGCTAACTTTTTGTATTTTTAGTAGAGGTGAGGTTTCACCATATTGGTCAGGCTGGTCTCGAACGCCTGACCTCAGGTGATCCACCAGCCTTGGCCTCCCCAAGTGCTGGGATTACAGGCGTGAGCCACTCTGCCCAGCAAAAAAAAAAAAAAAAAAAATGAGCCAAGTGTGGTGGTACACATCTGTGGTCTCAGCTACTCAGGAGGCTTAGGTAACAAGATCTCTCAAGCCCAGGAGGTCACGGCTGCAGTGAGCTATGACCACACCACTGCACCCTAGTTTAGACAATAGAGCAAGACCTCGTTTCCAAAAAAATATATATATATATGTATACATACATGTATATATTAAATGCAGACTGGATAACAATCATGGGAATTTACCTAGATACAAGCTTTTTTATACCTATTTGAAAAACTGAAGAAAAAAAGGTAATCTGAAAAGTCATCCTTATGAAAAGTATATAAAATCTATTTAAAAGTCCTAAGTAAAAAACTTAATTCACACATCAATCTTGGATTTGAATTACTCACTACAAACATATAACCCAACCCTCCCTCCTAACATGCTTCCAGAAGGGTCCTTCTAAAACACAAATTGGCCAGTCATTCCCTAGCCTACAGCTCTGACGGCTTCTCACTGTCAGCTTCTCAGTACAGCTTCTCACTGTCATCTGAGTGATCTTCAAGCTTTTTAGCATGGTTTATAAGGCCCTTCCTGTGGCCTCTGATTATCTGTCCACTACCCTTCAAATCCTTGCTCTACCAATAAGAGGTAAGTCATTTTTCACTGTCTTGAGTCTCTGCATGCACTGATTCCTGGCTGGAATTCTCTTTATCCCACTGCTCTCCTTCGTATGGTTTGTTCATCCTTCCAGTTTCAGTTTAGAGGAGTACCCTTCTCCAAGAAGCCTTTGAATTCCCTCATTTCTCTCAATCTTTTCCCACTCACCCGCTAAGTGGTCCTCCTCAGAGCTCTCACAGGCCCTCTGCTTACTGATTTCTCTTTACCTTCTTACATATCTGTCTCCTGAATAAGGACTTTAAGTTTCTTCAATTTTTTTTTTTTTTTTTAAGAGATAGGGTCTCACTCGGTCACCAAAGCTGGAGTACAGTGGCGCAATCATAGCTCACAGCAGCCTCAAACTCCTGGCCTCAAGCCATCCTCCCATTTTAGCCTCTCGTAACTGTAACTACAGTGGCACAGGCGTTACTATGTCAGCCTAAATTTTTTTTTTTTTTTTTTGAGACAGGGCCTGGCTATGTTGCCCAGGCTAGGACTGTAAGTTTCTTGAACGCAAAGGTTATGTCTTATTTCTAATTCCCCAGTGCTTAGCCCAGGACACACTTTCAGTGCTCTAACATCTACCAAACAAACATCTACCGAACGATCAAGTCAGAATACACAACGAGAACACAGGCTTCTCTTTAGAATCTAGGCAGAAAGTATCCCAACTCTGCTTTGTTCAACACTCCATACAAAACAGCTTGCCAAATCACCAGCTCCCAATGGTTCAAATACTGGGCTAACAAAGGAGTTCCCCACATGTGGGCAAGATGCCTTAGGCCCACAAACACATCGTCCACAAGCTATTTTCACTATATCAAAAAGTCTAAGAAATTACACATCGGCCAGGCGCCAGTGGTTCACACCTATAATCCCAGCACTTTGGGAGGCTGAGGCGGGCGGATCATGAGGTCAAGAGATCGAGACCATCCTGGCCAACATTGTGAAACCCCACCTCTACTAAAAACACAAAAATTAGCTGGCAGTGGCATGCGCCTATAGTCCCAGCTACTCAGGAGGCTGAGGCAGGAGAATCGCTGGAACCCAGGAGGCAGAGGTTGCAGTAAGCCGAGATTGCGCCACTGCACTCCAGCCTGGGCAACAGTGCAAGACTCTTTCACAAAAAAAAAAAAAAAAAAAAAACAGAAAATCCACAATAATGAGGCCAAGACAAGCTAACTCAAACAGTTCCTTTTCTTCTGCTTAAAATTTATCAACTAAGGATAGTAACGGAGTTTATCATGCTCTGCCTAATTCCTGATTAGCATATGAAAATCTTTTATTGAAAACTCCAGTTTCAAATTAATGATTTCACAATAACTACTGCCCAGAACCCCAATAGCAGCCTATTAGGGAGATAGCAAGTGGTTTCCATCTTTTTGATGTTTTAGCCAGTTGCGGTGCCTCACACCTCTAATCTCAGTCACTTGGAAGGCTAATGCTGAAGAATAGCTTGAGCCCAGGAGTTTGCAGTGAACTATGACAGCGCCACTTTCCACCCTGGGTGAAAGAATGAGACTCCATCTCAAAAAAATAAATAAATATTTTGAAATGTTTTTTTATTTCTAAAATGTGATTATAGGAAATAAGCAAAAGTATAAACTTAAACGTAACTCTCCAAACCAAAGCCCTAAAGAACTAATTTTAGACTTGTAGGAGAAACACGCAAAAAGCCAGGTGCTCATGCCTGTAATCCCAGCACTTTGAGAGGCTGAGGCAGGCGGATCACTTGAGGTCAGGAATTCAAGACTAGCCTGGCCAACATGGTGAAACCCCAACTCTACTAAAAATACAAAAATCAGCTGGGCGTGGTGGCGCATGCCTGTAGTCCCAGCTACTCAGGAGGCTGAGATGGGAGAATCACTTGAACCCAGAGGGCAGAGGCTGCAGTGAGCTGAGATCGTGCCATTGCACTCCAGCCTGGGCAACAAGAGCGAAACTCTGTCTCCAAAAAAAAAAAAAAGAC